GGGAAATTTGAACTGCTTTCCCTCCTTTTCTCCTTTAGTTAACCATTGGTCGGGGAAGAGGCTGCTTCTTTGTAGCTCCTTCACTCCAGCGGTTAGAGAGTGTGCGTTCTGAGAGAGGCTTCGGACTGCCTGGTATTGCTTTTTGCTTTTTAAAATGTTAAAAACTGCATGTTCTGGGTGAGTACTATACAGGGTTTTGCAGCGTGGATTTGGGCTGGCTGGGTGGGTGGGAGTTATATTTCTGTGTTTTTTAGTCCCTGCTGGAATGGGTTTGTTTGATTCGGGGGGGGGGTTATGTTTCTGTGCTCTGATGGGTCTTGCAGTGTGTAGTTGTAGCATTTTAGTCCCTGCTGGAATGGGTTTTTTCAGATTGTGTTTCAATGTATTCTTATGGGAAATGGTGCTTTGAGTTATGATCACCATTCTGGAATGGATTAAGTTCATAACTCAAGGCACCACTGTAAAGTAAACATAGGCTGTTTCTACACTCGTGCTTGGGCCTTCTTTCATATTATGTATTTGTCTTTCTTGCTTTCCTACATTATTGTTTATGCTTTCAGTTCTATCATCTCTTCCCTTTCCTCCACTACTGTGTTCATTGGCTCACAGTCCAAAAGGACCTCGTGTGAATATTGACAAGAAAGGAACAAGGGTGGGATGTGGGATGACCATTCTTCTGTGGGCAGACTGGCCACCATTTTGCTTCCCCCACAATGCCCTCTACATACTAAAGCATTGTGAAGGCATTAGTAGAAAGGTTGTCATAAATTAAAAGGAGAGAGAGAGAGAGAGAAATTATTCTGCAGATCCTGCAAATATTGTCTGCTAATTCTAGAGGCAAGAGAATTTCTGAATGTTTCTCAGAAAAATGACTTTGGGAAATTTTGCCTCAGTATTTGTTGTCAGTCTTCTGAGTTCAATGATAGAACTCAGAACTTAATGATACATTTTATTTCCCCTGCAGATGTTTATGCTACAGCTTCTTGCCTGTTTACCCTGTAGTTGTGTGTGTGAGAGAGAGCTGGCAAAACAATCCAGGAGATCTGTAGGCATCAATAACTAAGCATAAGGAATACCAGCTACAGCATGTCTGTCGGTCTAACTATTTATTGTCTTTCTCCAATGAATGCTACTCAAGGCACACTAAAATAATGCAAACAGCTGAAATCACTGTTGAGCCTCACCTTTGAGAAATTACTAGATAATTCTTTCAACTTCTGAAGAAATTCTGTGAACATTTTCTTTCTAAAAAGAAATAGCTATATTTTGTGGGGTGTTTTTTTTTGCACTTTAAGGGTGCATGAAACTCTTGCATACATGCTCTCAGCAGCTAGCATATTTGGGATAGTGAAGCTGTGAGGAACATGGCTATTAAAAAAGCTATAAAATGGGTTTCTGAGTCCATCACCTTTCCTTTGCACATTCTAGCCTGTGGATGTTTCCCTTTTTTATATGAATCTCTCCCCACTCACTGGAATTTAAAGATGGGGGAACCCCACCTGACACAAACATTGGAGTTATAGTCCCTGGAACTGTGGTCCAGAAAGGGAAATTGTCCTATTTCTTCAAAAGCCACAGGACACAAAAAGTACATTAGAAAATTGTGAACAATTTGAACAGTTCAGTAAGAGGCATGTTGGCTCATTACTTCTCCAAATAGACCCACTATGCTTAGAAGTTCATCTAGCCTCTCTCTTTCTTCATCACTGTTTTCTGTATAGGGAAAGTAGTATGTTTTCAGCACAACTAGTTCTGCTCATTTGTAGGCTGTACATATGAGCAACAACCTTTGAAACCAGAGTTGTTGCTGTCATGTAAACCTTAAAGTGAGCAAGAATGTGTCTGTTACTGCTGTGTTACTTTGCATGTGTAGGAAGCAATGATGACAACAGAAGAACTACATAATCCTTTATAAGCATGGTGTTGCATCAACAGCATGTATGTTGAGAGGTGCTGGCAAATAATGAATGAAATAAGGCAATACAGCACCAAACACAACCACTTTAGACAATGTTTAAATTTGAGGAAAAGGTTTCTGCACACATCTCAAGCTCTAAATATTAAACCAGAAGAGGTTAGGCTAAGCATATGGAGAACCAAAACAACACACTTTGCAGAATGGATGAATGCCAAAGATTGTCTCCCACTAGGACAAGATTCTGGCTGGACCATCCAGAAGTCACTTAATAGACTGTGAAACAAAGTAGGAAGATCAAAGAATAATCAAATAAAATGGAGCTACTTGGAATACAAGACTTGGAATACATGACTGTGGAGAAATTCAGTCAATGCAGCATTTATATGCCCCTCCATGTATACAAAAGATTAGTAAACGTCTGATATAATGGTGTTGAAGTAGCCTGTGTCTGGTCAAAAATATTCTATCATAACATTTTAATTTGTCTTTAATTTTACCTATATTTCATATACAGTACATCCATAATTTTAAATGGTGCAATGCTTTGATACAAATAAACCAAGCAAGCAAGCAGGATGAATGCACCCATGGAGGTAACAACTGAATACTACTAAGAGAAAATAGCACTACATCTGAAATCCGTAATACTGTCAAGCCATGATCACCGGCCTCCAAGCCTGCAAGATGATGCAATTTCAATCTGGCACCAAAATGAGGTCAGTCCAGTCATACCACCATGGTGAGAGCATTCCCCAAACCGATGCTTTCTCTAGCACCTCTATCTCCACCACAGAGATCTGAATTGACTGGCCAAGTACATTCAAGGGAGACACACTTGAGGTTTTAAGTTGTTTAGGCCCCAAGCTTTTTAAATGCCAATACCAGCATCTATCTATCTTTCTTTCTTTCTTTCTTTCTTTCTTTCTTTCTTTCTTTCTTTCTTTCTTTCTTTCTTTCTTTCTTTCTTTCTTTCTTTCTTTCTTTTTCTTTCTTTCTTTTATCTATCTATCTATCTATCTATCTATCTATCTATCTATCTATCTATCTATCTATCTATCTATCTATCTATCTATCTATCTATCTATCTATCTATCTATCTATCTATCTATCTATCTACCCTGCCTATCTGGACCACTGGACCATTGGACCTGTGAAGAGATGAAAAGTGAAATTCACTTTAAACTGTTGTCCTAAGGTGTTCCTGTCAGCAAAGTATCTGGTGCACATTGCACTAGTTGTAGGCTCAGCCAGTTATCTTCAAGGGCAGACCCATGCAGAGTGTCTGGACCATTGGACCATTGGACCTGTGAAGAGATGAAAAGTGAAATTCATTTAAAATTGTTGTCCTAAGGTGTTCCTGTCAGCAAAGTATCTGGTGCACATTGCACTAGTTGTAGGCTCAGCCAGTTGTCTTCAAGGGCAGACCCTTGCAGTAGCCTATATGGATGCATGAGCTACTATTGTCGTTACTGAGGAAAGGCAATATCTGGCAGGCCATATGATGGTCAGCCTGGGTATTCTGATCCACAGAGTCCATGTACACTTCCAGTAACAGAGACAGATCCAGGAATACTGGGAAACTGAACGCTTGCTTCTTCAAGAGAGATTTGTCCCGTCCCCCCCCCCACCAGAACAGGTAATTTACCCAGTTCCTTGGTAACAATTCTATTTTGTTAGGATTCAACTTCAGTTTACTAACCTAGTCAAGCTCATTGTAGCATCACAGTACAGGTTCTGCACCTTCATAACTGATTACAGCGGTGTAGTTATAAGCCACAATTATCTATCCTTGCTTGTAAGGCAGAGGTGGGCAATTTGCAATGTACCTGATGTTTTTGGACTGGAACTAGCATAGCCAATAGCAAGGGTTGGTGGTAGCTGCAGTCCAATAACCTCTGATGATTCGAAGGACTAAATTCTACAGCTCATATCAGGCATTAGACAATGAAAACGAAAACAGAGACAACTGTACCACCATTTGGCCTGCGGGACTATCTGTATTGGATTGTGGATCCTGCATTAGAAGCTCAGAGGTAGGACTGAGCAACATTCCTTTGTATCTGCTCATTTATTATTTCTAGATAATGCACATGTTTTTCTCCATTGCTAGAGTTAATGGTCAGCTGAGCTGAAAAAGGGAACTGACCAGGCTCTTTCTGAATTCGAACGGATACACATACAGAGAAAGAGGGGAATGAGAGAGCAAGAGAGCATGTGGGAGACAGTTTACATACTACAGTACTCATTTTATACCACTGTTTCATGCAAGCCTACTCAAAAATAAGTCTCATCTTGATGGAAAAGTTTATGGTCACAGAGGCATGCATAACAAACAAAATAATGGTAATCCTAATACCAATACTACTTGTACTGGAATAATCCCAATACCATGCAAATCAATTCTCTCACAATCTGAATTTTGAAAACAACCTTCGGATAGCTTTGTGAATTGATGAAATAATACTATGCTGCTCTGATAAGCAGGTGAAACAGCCATTAATTTGCTTGAATAAAAGTCTGTTTTTGTGAAGCTTAAAGTTTGCAATGATGTGAAACTTCCTTGATACGAAGAAAAGCACTATATACAGATTAATAACAAGACTGCTTGCTGAATAAAAAAACGTGGCACAAAAAGATTAAAGGAGGGGCAATAAAGAAGGAAAGTAACATTAAGCAGATGCATGAACTGGTAGAGGCATTTCACTTTCAGCCTGCTACTTGCTAGCACTGTAATAAATGATAACTCAGTTTAGTACTGTAATTAACAGTGCAATCTTTTATGCAATCTACTCATACAGAAGTTCCATAGAGCTCAGTAAAACATACATCCAGGTAAGTATGTGTATAGGCTTGAAGTCAAAGACAATAAGTAACATTGTCTTTGGACAAACGCTGGCTCTGTGGCTTGGAAACGGGGATGAGCACCGCGCCCTAGAGTCGGACACGACTGGACTAAATGTCAAGGGGAACCTTCACCTTTTTATTCAGATTCTTTCCACAATGAAGCTTACTCCCAAATAAGAGTACATTTAAGACGGTAGCAGAAATCAAAATAAGACAAGTGCTGGTTGCAAGACTGATTCCAACAGAAAAAGAGGGAGGCAGCCGTCTTGAATTCCATTTGCTGAAATTGTTTGCTAAGCGTCGGTGATAAGTAATAACTCCTACTGTGGAGGATGTTTGGTCAATATCGTTTAATGTTTAAACTTTCCAGCGCCCTCAGTTTGTTCTGGACTCGGAAAGGTGGTTGAGAGTTCTGAGGGGAAAAAGAAAAGAGAAAAAAAAACCTTAGGTAAATAGGAAGGTTAACAGGTTTTTTTCTCCCTTCCCACTCACTCCCACAGCCCGCCCCGCAAAGAAAAACACCGCTGAAGAAACCGGCGCTTCACCCGCGCGTGTAAACACGTTTTTGCAGCCTCTCCTCAAGGAAACATAGAGCCAGAGGCGGTTCGCGACCTGGGTAAGGAAGGGCACATCCCTCCTATCGGGGTGTGCGTGTGAGGTGACCCCTTGCTCCATCCACCAGCTTTCTATGGTGAAGAAGAGGGCGGTCAGTTGAGGGACCCTTCCTCGTCGCCTGAGGGGGAGCGGGCCAAAGGAGCGGAGCGGAGGGAGGCGGGGCCAGGGCAGCAGGTTCACCCCATATTAAGAGCGAGCGCAGGAGCCGGAGGGCGAGTCGCGCTGACCGGGGGTGACAATGGAGGGCGACGGCGTGCAAGGCAAGGGCAGCGCGCTCCCTGTGCGGAACTGCCAGGAGAAAGCCTTCCCCAGCGACGGAAAGGCAGCGGAGCAGCAAAATGCCGGAGCGGAGGGAGGCGGGGCCAGGGCAGCAGGTTCACCCCATATTAAGAGCGAGCGCAGGAGCCGGAGGGCGAGTCGCGCTGACCGGGGGTGACAATGGAGGGCGACGGCGTGCAAGGCAAGGGCAGCGCGCTCCCTGTGCGGAACTGCCAGGAGAAAGCCTTCCCCAGCGACGGAAAGGCAGCGGAGCAGCAAAATGCCGCCGCGACGCCCATGCTGGCAGCGGGGGAGGCCGAGGACCCGGAAAAAAACATGTCGAGGAGCAAAGGCAAGGATCCCACCTACAAAGTCCTGTCCCTGGTAAGGAGATGCCACCGCTGCGGTACTTGCAGGGCGCCTGTAGGGGGCAGCGTAAAGGGCGCTGTTGGAGCGGAGGGCGGGGGCACCGGCGGTCCCGCGCTGCTTGGCCGAGGAGCGTGCTGCTGCTACCTGTTGGGAGGATAAGATGGGATACCTCCCTCTTGTGTTGCTGGAAGGACGGGTATTTAGTCAGAATAGGAATAATGTTAATTAGCTTGTAATATATGAGCAAAGGGAGGCTAGCTGACAGAGTGTGTTCAGGCCAGTTAGTAGATCTTGCATTACTAGTCCTCCCAAGTTGATATGGCTCTCTTTGGGCAAACTGGTATTCAACTTTGTGCAAGTGTTACTACCTTTTGCATTTAAAGTCGTTAAAAGGAAGATTTCTTCACGTTGAATGCAGTGCTTGCTAATGCAACTTTTCCACAACTTGTACATAAGGAGAAAAGAAAAAAAAAGTTATAATACGTTTTGCACAGAAATAGAAGAGAACAACAGCAGCAGCAACAAAAAAGCAAGAGAAGAGAAGCAAGGATGTAAAAGTACAGTAAAGTGAAAGCTGCTTTCAAACCAGTTGGAAGAAATACATAATCAGGAATACATTTTTTAAATCAATGGAACTATTTCAAGCTACAGAGACTTAATGTAGCAAAATCTCAACAGAAATGTATCAGCAAATGTGGGGGAAAACAGTGGGCTGCATACTGGAATGTGCAGTATGCATTCCATTTTTCAAGAAAGGAGACTATGAAGATTGCAGTAACTACCAGACTGTCACATTAATTTCCCATGCATGCACAGTGATGCACAAGATTTTACAACAAAGACTTTTACCATACATATGAAGTGAGAGATATCAGATCTTCAACCTGTTTTGATGCTGCTGTTGTTCTCAGAACCAAGTATTTGCATTTTATCCTAATATTTTTGTAAATTTATGTATATTTACATATTTTGGTGTTTTATTTGTGGCTGGTCTTAGACTGTAATAAAGTTTTATTCTATTCTGTAACCTGGATTCAGAAAAATAGTAGAGATGATACTGCAAATATACACTGGCTGCTGGAGGGTGCCAGAGAATTTCAGAAAGCCAGGCTGTCCTTCATAGATTTCTGTAAAGCCTTTGACTGTGTAATTTGAGAAAATACATGGATCATTTTGAAAGAAATGGGTGTGCCACAATATTTGATTATCCTGATTGGGCACTGTAACCTATATACTCAACAGGAGTCTATTATTAGGAGCGAGCAACAGAATGGTTTCCAACTGGCAATGTTGACAGACCAAGGTGTATTTAATCCCCCTCTCTGTTAAGTTTGTATGCATGATATAACCTTACAATGAGCTGGAATAGATTCATATGAAATGGGAGTAAAAATTGGTGGAGGAAAAGTCAATAGTATAAGATATGCAAATGATACAATTAGATTAGATTAGGCATCCTTCAGTCTCAAGAGACTATGGTAACATGCTCTGAATGGAGGACTTGGAATAGTGTCTAGTGTGACCGAGAAGGCTAATTTGAGAGTGACAATCCCTTCCACACAGTCTGTCCCTTGTCTAGAGTGACAATCCCTTCCACATTGAAAATACAGTCTGTCCCTTGTCCGGACTGGGTTTTGCTGGTTTCAGGACTGCCTCTTTGCCTTGGCCTGCTGTATAAGTGTCTTCAAAATTGGAGAGGCCATGCTGCACCATCTGCCTCCAGGATGAATGCTCAGATGTCAAGGTTTCCCATCTGTTGATTACCATTCCTAAGGCCTTCAGATCCCGCTTGCAGATATCCTTGTATTGCAGCTGTGGTCTCCCTCTAGGGTACTTTCCCTGCCCTAATCCTCCATACAGGAGATCTTTTGGACTCATCAGCCATTCTCACGACACACCCAAGCCAAGGTAGACATCACTGTTTCAGTAATGTATACATGCTAAAAATTCCAGCTCGTTCTAGGACTACTCTGTTTGGAACTTTGTCCTGCCAGGTGATACCAAAAATGTGTCAGAGACAATGCATATGGAACATGTTCAGCCTCCTGTCTTGCCATGCACAAAGGGTCCAGGATTCACTGCAGTACGAGAGTGTACTAAGGACACAGGCTCTATAGACCTGGATCTTGGTATATGCCATCAGCCTCTTATTAAGCCATACTTTCTTTGTGAGTCTAGAGAACATCGTAGCTGCTTTGAATGATGCAATATATTCCTGGGAGAACATAGTACTGTATTGAAGTATTTACTGCTAAAGGTTGAAAAAGAAAGTAAAGAAGCAAGATTACAATTAAACCTTAAAATTTTAAAAATAATGACTACAGAGGAATTATATGACATAATGTTGACAATTAAGAAATCAAAATTATTAAAGATTTTTTGTACTGTGGTTCAGTCATCAATTCAAATGCAGATTGCAACCAAGAAATTAGTGGAATGAGACTTGGAAATCATCTCTGAAGGAGCTATAAGAGATTTTGAAGTGTGTGTCACTGGAGACCAGCACCGAAAAATCTATGCTATGTTACCCCCAATTTGCTATGTGAAGATGTCTAAGCCAGACACTGAAGAAAGCTGATAGGAACAATACCTTGATTGAAACTGAGAATACTAAATGTACATATCATGAAAAGAGAAGATTCACAAGAACAAATAATAAGGTTGGTAAAAGTTGAAGGTAGTAGGAAAAGAGGAAGACTAAATACAGTTGTGCCTCACTTAACGATGATAATCCATTCCAGGAAAATTGCCGTTAAGTGAAAACATTGTAAAGCGAAAATAAAAACCCCATTGAAATGCATTGAAACCCGTTCAGTACGTTCCAATGGGGTAAAAACTCACCATCCAGCGAAGATCCTCCATACGGCGGCCATTTTCGCTGCCTGTATAGCGAGGAATCTGTCCCTAAACACAGCGGAGAGCCATTTTAATGACCCGGTGGCCATTTTGACACCGCTGTTCAGAAAACGTCATTTTGCGAAGAATCAGTTCCCAAAGCAGGGAACCGATCATCGCAAAGTGAAATTCCCCCATTCAGACCATCGTTTTGTGATCACAATTGCAATCGCAAAAAGATCATCGTTAAGTGGATTGTCGTCATGCGGGGCAATCGTAAAGCGAGGCACCACTGTATGAGGTGGATTGACTCAATAAAAGGAGTCGTGGCTTTGAGCTTGCCAGACCTGAGCAGGACTGTCTTAGGACCGTTTGGAAGTTATTAAGTAATAGGCTTATTGTAAGTCAGAAACAATTTCGTAGCAGATAACAAGTAATTTATTCTTACCTGTGACATGAGGATCATTATCTATGTTAGAAGTTGGGTATGTTACCTTGGGAAAATGAGAGTTATTACAGATTACAAGATGAGCTGCATATGAATAATTGTGTGTCTGTGTAACCTTTGGCAACAATTTTCACAGGAATGGTTTGAATATGAATTGAATTGAGGAGACACGGCGATCTGCTCTTAGGATAAACTAATGAAGAAATAACAGAAGTGAGCAAATTGAGACAGTGTGTGTCACCTTTGCCTGCAGACATGCCACGTCCTTTCCTCCATGATTGAAGTCTGTATTTTTTATGTTCACTCTGCCCTGTTTTTGTCTGACAGCTTCATGCTGAAATGGCAGTGTTAGGGTAGACATTCTTCTTAGTGACATCTTGATGGGAAATGAGGTCACAAAGAAGCACCTTCATGGAGTTTCTCTTTTTATGGGATCTTAGAGTAAAGGATGTTCATGAATCCCTCTGCACACTACCTCTTTTTGAGGTAGGGGTCCAGGAGAGGATCTGGATGCACTAACAGTAACACATTGATGTACTGACTGGGGGATTCTGGAAGTTTTAGTCACAGATGTCACTTTTCTAAGCTCCATGCTGGTCTCTTATTAATCTGAAGTGGAGACGTGATGAAACTCAGCCTGTGTCATAACAGAGCTTTGAGAGAGGTGCCTCCACTCACTTTTAAGGAGTTCTTAATCCCTGTTCTGAACATTCTTTAGTGTGCTTAAGGTTCATGCTGATTTACCCCCACCCCCACCAATAGATGTGATGAGGTGGTGTTTTGTTATGTTTTATGAAGCAGCTGAAAACTGTCAATTATTATTTTACTCGCTATATATTTTTACTGCTATAGTTGTTGGGAGAGGGGCAGAGAGAGGTGTCTGTGAAATTTTCTGCCTCAGGTGCCAGAATAATTTGGTTGCTCTTGGGTATTATGTACCGTAACTGTGAGGGGAGAGGTGTCATTTGCTGCTTCATCTCCAGCACCAAAATGTCTTGGGCTGAAGTCGCCTGTTGTGTCTCATTGCTCAAAAGCACAAATGGGAATGCGGGTAGGATGGCAGCCAGGATGACTCATACCCTTCCACAGGAACCAAATGCTTAATAAACACTGCCAGAATGTTAATGCTGCTGCTGAGTAATGATTTAGCCAGTCATGCAGAATGTTTCTGTTTGTTGGATCTTAGAAAGCTTGCTTTGAGAAGGAAGTTGCTAGGTACTATCACAGCTTGGAAAAGTTACTTTTTGGACCAAAGCTTCCAGAATACCCTATAAGGATTCTTGGGAAAAGCATTTCCAAGCTCTGGATACTATAGAGCTAACAATTACCGTATGTATGAACATTGATATTGCCCTCATCTGTATCCCACTTCACTTGGCCCTCACCTCCACAGCCATGTGAATTCTATGTGTAAAATCATGACCTTGCTGTTGTACACTGTCTGAAGAAGTGGACTGTAATTCATGAAAGTGAAACAAATCTATTAGTCTTAAATATGCTACAAGATGTTTTGTTTTCATTATATCTGCTATAAGGTGGCCTTTAAAATGTTTGAAGAAAAGTTCTTTATAGCTTAAATAGCTTGCATACTCTTAGAAGAAAAAGATTAAAGGCATTGCTTTATTTATTTTTGCACTTCCATGGTCAAAGCAGAAGAATAAATACAGACAATATTGTGGTACTTATTGGTGAGAACAAAGCTAGCTGGAAATGAAAAAAGCAATATGAAAATCAGATGCTGGAAGGATATAGGAATTTAAAGTTCCCTATCTAACCATGCCATTGTAGTTATGCCACTGGGAGAGGTCAGGACTGGTTCATGGTAACAGGAGACTCAGCAATTAGAAAGATAAACAGATAGGTTAGTGATGGGCATGTAGAGCATATGGTGGATTATGTGGCAGAATGAAGATTGCGGATGTCACATATATTCTGTAATACTTACCTGGTAAGGCAGATAACATGATCATGATCATATAATTCATATTGCCAGATAGATAGTGCTAGGCTGGAATTAATGGAATATGTTGTTAACCCCACTGAAGTGGAAAAATATGATAAATAAATGGATGAAATTCAGAATCTGCAGGGTGACTTCCCTTGAACACACATAGAAATCATAAGATGTTAAGGAGTCTTTTTTATTTCTGGGTAAATAACAGAAAGCAGAAAGTTAGAATGAACTTGTGGTTCTCAACTTTAGATCCTCCAGATGTTATGAATTCCAAATCTCAGAAGCTCCAGCAAGCATGGCCTATCACTAAGAGAGTCAGAATCCTGGTCCACTAGCTGTGCTGGCAAGGGATTCTCAGTGTTAATTTCTAAAATGTTTAGAGGACCAGAGGCTGAGAACCACTGGAATACATGTTCAGGTGTCTCACTGGAGGAATGTAAACACTGCCTGTACCACATCTATATTGAGTCTGGTGCTTTTTAAGTCACTTATGAATGTGTATGGTTTCAAGGACAAATATCCTTCTTGGTAGGCCCTTCTTACGGACACAATTCTAGTGTGATAGGAACATACTGTAAGTCATCCAGGGATGTAAATCCTAACTTAGTTTGTCCATGTGCAATAAACACAATAACATTTTTCCTGACTTTGAAATGGTGAGATTGTGGGAGATTCAGATAATTTTTTCTCATCTTAAACCTTTTTTGTGCATTTCTCTAAAATGTGCATTTCTCTAAAATGTGCATTTCTCTAAAATATGGAGTTAAATGTTGCCTTGTTGCATGATCTAGTAAAGGCTCTAGTATTGGATGGGTTGGTTGTGTCTCTAATAAAGCAGCCTCTCATTTTGTGTTTGCTGTCTGTGTATGCTTTTTTTTTCACAAAGTGAAAAAAAATGCTAGTAATGCACTGAGACATTTTGTGCAAATGGTTGAAAACACCATGAGGGGGAAAACATGGTGTTTGGTATCATTTCCCAGAGGTGAGATCATGAATGTGAAGATGATTGTTCTTCTTGGAAGCTTTTACAAATGTTGGAAAGCATCACTGTTGATTCTCTGTTTCTAGGCAGAATAGTCTTAGTACGTGGTCTGTGGAGGAACATGTTACTAAGGTGCTTGGGTCTTGAGCTGAAATACAGATGCCCACCTCAAATCTGTATTTGACCTGGCTGAGCCAAGTAATAGTGCCTCTTGTATATCCTTTTTGTGTATGCTAGGCTGTAAATGGTTTATAGGCTATGGACTATAACCTCTATAAAATTGGTCATTTTGATGTTGAAGAGCTGCTGTTCTACAACACAACAGAGAACAATGATAGAAGCATATGTCAAATGTTTAAAAGAAAAAGGGGAATGAAGGAATTGGCTAGTTAAATACATTTTCAAATAAAAACGGGGATGTATCTTGATTGTAGTTTAGCAGGGTACCTAACAGAGAGGCTAACCCAATTAAGTCTGCAGATCATCCTCTCCATCTTAAACACTTAAAACAGCCAACATCCGGGCTTTAATTTCATACCAGCCTTCTGTCTCCCTCTTCTGCCCTCTGGTTTTACTTCTAACCTGATGAAGAGTTTGGAAGAACTTGAAAGCTTGCCCGCTAGTTTGTTGCATTTTAGTTATTGCTCCCCAGGTAAAGATAATGGAATTTTATGTTGACCAACATAGCTGCCTATGGCCGTGGTCTTTCTGTATAAGAGGAGTGTGTGGAGGAAAGTAACATGTCTGTTACAATCAAAATAATATTGATGTATTAGCTGTTTTTTGTATAAGAGGTTATGCTCACAAGCAGATGTCTCAAAAAATGATGATTACCTCCTCATGGAATATCAACACAATGTTCTGTAATGAATTGCAACCACCAATGGAGGATTCTGTCCATGGCTTCCTTTGGGTGTGGTGGTTGTTCTAATGCAACATGGCAACATGTGATATGTGTGTGAACATAGAACTTTAAATGGGAAGACCATTACATTTCTTTCTGAACCAAGACTTTCTTTAAAAAATGGCCACTGTCTGGTCTATCTGCTTCTAAGTTCTGATATTTTTTTTTAATTTTTAAATAAACAGCAAATAATACAAAACTTGACACCAACCACTCTCACTTGTGAAATAATGGTGTGTTCTCGTGTATAATATTTTGATAAGGAGGAACATCTTTTTGATGTTGTTAATTATATATTAAGGTAATCATGACTGAAAAAGAATTGTATGGTTAAGAATTAAATGATGCAGCAAATGAGGGTAGGGTGCTCTTTTTGCTGTGTCTCAAAGCTAAAACTTTTAGTTTAAACTGTGTCGCATGAGCACGGTGTTTGCAGAATCTTTAGTTAATCATGACTTGCACATCTAGTTCTGTGATGGGTGATCTGAGTGAAGAATGATTTGCATAGTAAGTGCACTGGCCTCTTTTATAGGAGAAGAGTGATACTAGTATCAGAAAGATGTGCATAAATGATCAGCAAGACAAAAAGTTAAATAAGGGTTTATTTTATTTTACCTTTTATTCTTTTCTCTTGCTGAGCATAGCTTGGAGTAGACATCCTTCAGTCTCCAGAGACTATGGTAATGTGCTCTGAATAGAGGTTTTGGAACAGCGTCTGGTGTGGCTGAGGAGGCCAATTTGGAAGTGACAATCCCTTCCACGCTGAGTACAATCTGTTCCCTGTCCAGCTCCCTGATTTTGCTGCTTTCAGGACTGCCCCTTCGCCTTGGCCTGCTGAACAAGTGACTCTTCAAATTGGGAGAGGCTATGCTGCACCGTCTGCCTCCAGGCTCAACACTCAGATGTCAAGGTTTCCTATCTGTTGAGGTCCATTCCTAAAGCCTTCAGATCCCGCTTGCAGATATCCTTGTATCGCAGCTGTGGTCTCCCTCTGAGGCAATTTCCCTGCACCAATTCTCCATACAGGAGATCTTTTGGACTCTGATCACAGCATGCCCAAACCAACGTAAGTGTCGCTGTTTCAGTAATGTATACATGCTAAAAATTCCAGCTTGTTCTAGGACTACTGTATTTGGAACTTTGTTCTGCCAGGTGATACCAAAAATGCATCCGAGACAACGCATATGGAATGTGTTCTGCTTCCTGTCCTGCCATGCACAAAGGGTCCAGGACTCACTGCGGTACAGGAGTGTACACAGGCTCTATAGACCTTATGAGCTTTCTTTTTGCCAGTATGTCAGCAATTAGATATGCTGGTCATCAGATGGCCAGTCCCTGTGTGCAAATAAAGAAATAAATGATTGACATATCTGTTAGAATCACTGCTTCGTAAAGAGATAATGATATTGGGCGAGGAATCACTTTGGATGGAAAACCACCACTTTTATTACCTGAGGTAGGTCCTTTAGGCCTCAGAAGTGCATAGTCCTTGGTCCATGGACAAGCTTGACCTTAAAAGAAACTCTTGCTTACTTTCAAAGCAATCAACCATTGACTTGTGCTTTCTTAGGCAGCACTGACCAGGTGGGACCTCTCTATATTACAGTAGCAATTA